TTCTTTTCTTTAAGGATGTTGAATATTGGCCCCCACTCCCTTCTAGCTTGTAGGGTTTCTGCAGAGAGATCTGCTGTGAGTCTGATGATCTTTCCCTTGTAGGTGACTCATCCTTTCTCTCTGGCTGCCCTTAGGATTTTTTCCTTCATTTCAACCCTGGTGAATCTGACAATTATGTGCCTTGAGGTTGCTCTTCTTGAGGAGTATCTTTGTGGTGTTCTCTGAATTTCCTGGATTTGAATGTTGGTCTGCCTTGTTAGGTTGGGGAAGTTCTCTTGGATAATATCCTGAAGAGTGTTTTCCATGCATTCTTCCTGTCACATTCAGGTATGCCGATCAAGCGTAGATTGGGTCTTTTGACATAATCCCATAGTCCTTGGAGGCTTTGTTCATTTCTTTTCACTCTTTTTTCTCTAATCTTGCCTTCTTGTTTTATTTCATAGATTTGATCTTCAATCTCTGATATCCTTTCTTCTGCTTGATCAATTCAGCTGTTGGAACTTGTGTATGCCTCGTGAACTTCTCGTGCTGCGTTCCTCAGCTCCATCAAGACATTTATGTTTTTCTCTAGGCTGATTATTTTAGTTAGCATTTCATCTAACTTTTTTTCAACGTTCTTAGTTTCCTTGCATTGGGTTAGAACATGGTCTTTTAACTCAGAGAAGTTTGTTATTACCTATCTTCTGAAGCCTGCTTCTGTCAATTTGTCAAACTAGTCCTCTGTCTTGTTTTGTTCCTTGATGGTGAGGAGCTGTGATCCCTGGGAGGAGGAGAGGTGTTCTGGTCTTTGATGGATTCATCCTTTTCGTGCTGTTTTTTTCCCATCTTCGTGGATTTATCTCCCTTTGATCTTTGACATTGGTGATTTCGGGAGGAATCAGCCTACATTCTTTTTGTTGAGGTTGCAGCTATATCTTTTTTGGCCTGTAGAGGTGCTGCTGGGCTGCCTTGTATTCAGTCAGGCTGCTGGGTGGGTGGTCTTCCCCTGCAGTTTGTTTGCAGGTGAGATGAGCCCCGCCTTCACAATCGTGTCTCTCCTTCCTGGAGCTCAATCTTCCCTGTTGGGGTCAAACTGATGTTTTTGCTGGGAAGCTCTCCAGAGCGCTGGCTTCCGTTTGAGTTTTGGAGGGGTAGGGCTGCCAGGCCTTATAGCCCATTTCCCTGCTTTCAACTCTCCCTCTTTCTGTGGGATAGTTTCATCCCGCTCACTAGTCCACACTTCCCTCCAGGTCTGTGCCAACTTGTGGCACCAGGCGGGAGCCATCGCTCAGATTTGCAGTGACAACTCACAGCCCCCCTCAGTCTGGCAGGGCTCTCGTGGACCGTGGGTTACAGGGGATGAGGGAACCACAGGATTGAAATCAGAGGACCGAGGGAGTGAAGTCAAGGTGGGATCGGCGCACCATGTCTCCGTTCGCCCTCCCTGGGCTGCACTCCTCCTACTTCTCTGCTCGCCTTCTCTGTGCTATTTTCAGAATCCTACCAGTCCCACAGCGACAAATCCAGCACCTCACCTGGAATCGTGAAGTCCTCTAGCCCTCTGCATCTCATGCGCTAGGAGCTGCATTCCGATGTTGCCTCCTCTTGGCCATCTTGGTACCCCCGGTTGTGCATACCTTTTCGTGATGATTGTATTTTGTTTGTTCAGGGACTAGTCATTTTAATTCGTTGGCACTTTGGAATGATGTTGAACTTTAGGTAGCCAAGTGATTTGTCTGCTTCAGTGTGATGCTCTAATCTGCTTACTCAACAGGACCAGACGAAGATGTGTTTGTAGATTACTCTTGCGGGGTGTGGCCAGGTGGAAGCCCTCTCTGATACAATAGCTTATTGTCCTGGCAGAGAAGGGCTTTGGTTGTGTACAAGGAGGGACTATGTAGGGGAAGAGAAAAAAATAGATCCAAAAGAGAGATGTGTCTGGATTCCCATAGAAACTGTCTGGATAACCTGCAAATCAGATTAAGAACCTGGAAAATTAAGAGCCCCAGGGGAGACTCAGCTTATGAGACCTGAGGTGTCTAGGAAGATGAATAGAGAAAGAAAAATTGAGGCAGACCTGAGCTCAGAAGGGGCTCTCAAAGAATTTTCTGAGCAAATTCATTAAGTCTAACTTGTTTTAAGGAAGTTTTGAAAAACCAATTCTTCAAAGTATGAATCTTGAGCCAAGATTGAACGTAAAAGTATAGAACTAGGAAAAAATGTATTTTCCCAGACAAATGGGGGATGTGAGCATGTGGGTTTTGCCTTCAGACCTTCCTGCATTCAGATCACAATTCCGCCGCTTTCTTGTCTCAGGACCTCTCTGGCTCAGCTTCCACATCTGTAAAATGGGGTGTTAAAAGATGCCCCCAAAATTTCCTGTAATAAATGACTACAACAGTATTAGCAGTATGCTTCAGGACATATAGATCTAGCACTAAAAATGATATTTCTTATTCTTGTTCCTAAGATTATTGATTTATATCTGATATTTTATGAGAGTTTTCAGTTTACTTTTTAAAAATATGAGACTTTGGTTTTTAATTTATTTTAAGTGTGGTGAGTACTAACAAAAATGTTTTCTACTTGCCTCACCTTAGACTGAAACTCAGAGGAAGGATGAAAGGAAACATTTGTCCATGTGTCCTTGGCATGTCCCTCCGCAGGGTGAGTCAGTGAAGACACTCCTGACTGCCTGAACTGGTTTACTTAGTTCAAAAAGAGACCAGTGGAGCTTTGTGGGAAACTAGGGTTATTTTGCACAAAGGAAATTTGTAATTTTATACATTATCTTATACTCTCTCTCTCTTTTTTTTTTTTTTGAAAGACAGTGTCTCCGTTTGTTGCCCAGGCTGGAGTACAATGGTGTGATCCTTGCTCACTGCAGCCTTGAGCTCCTGGGCTCAAGTGATCCTCCCACCTTAGTCTCCTGAGTAGCTGGGACTACAGACGTGTGCCAACATGCCCGCTTGTTTTTAAAGTTTTTTAGACACAGTCTTGTTTTATTGCCAAGGCTAATCTTGAACTCCTGGCTGCCCACCTTGGCCTCCCAAAGAGCTGAGATTACAAGTGTGAGCCACTGCTCTTGGCTGTACTTTTAGTCTTAGGTGTTCTGGCAACTGGCAAATATATGAAATTTCATTTGCCTAAGAGTGCAGGGAACACCCTATTCTCTCCTCTGTGTCTGTGGTCCTTGGGTTCATGGATGATAGTGGTGAAAGCTGTCTGATTATACCACTTATAAGGCCGAATGCACTCAGACACAAGAATGAGGTGGAAGCCCCTTGTCCAGTTTCATCTCTGTCTTCTCTTCATTAGGCCAAGGAAGGCCATGGAACTGTACTGTTAGCACTCCACTCAGGCCTGCCTGTATCATCCCTCCACCCGGTAGCATAGTGGTTTGTAAGTAGGAAATTTGTAGCCACTGAGATGATGTCATCCCCAAAGAGAAGCATCTACTGTGGCTTTATCCTTTACACCCTTTTCTCTGTACCCATTTTGTAGTCTTTGTCACTTTCATTATTATGTGGGGATTTGGGCTTTCTGTCTCCTGACTATCTTTTGTGAACTAAATATTATTTTAGGCAGTTCGTACTAAAAATTCTAAAAATACTGCTTGAGGATGGCAGTCTTATTTGGAATTGTGTCACCTGTGGTTTATCTTGTGCTTAATTGATTCATGATAATTTGGACAATAAGTAAATGATTTTCTTTTCATCATGTAACTCACAAAATGTTTTCCTTTTCATGTTTTTTCTTTAGTGCTCTCTCCTTTTCCTGCCAAATATCTAGGCTCACTTTACCATCAGATAGAGATTTAGTTGGGCTTTTAGAACTTTCTCTTCAAGCAGATGCCGTGTGTTGTGTGTGTGTGAAGTTTGTGGGCTGTTAGAAGCTATTTGCTCATCTTGTCAAAGCCAGAGCAGTCTTTTCATTCTCAGTTGCTTTGCTTTCTCCTCACCTCTTGGGAAATTGGCAGCCAGTGACTTTGATTTTTTTTTTCTCTGTGAGACAAATATGCTAGTGTATAACTAGACAGAGGAACAGTTTACACATTTAGCAAATGATCAAATAAGTGGTGTGTTTGTGTGTGTGTGTGTGTGTGTGTGTGTGTGTGAGAGTGATTACATGCTGACTCTATAACTGAGCAAGTGGTGTTTTTCTTTCAAGTCTCCATGCATTTATGCATTTAATTAGAAGGCCTAAGTATCTATGATGGCTTTTAGATATGTAGCTTCAACAGTTTTTTAAGAAGGAGGAAGAGGTTCCAAGACAATTTTGACTCTTATTTAGTGGATGTGTGGTTTAATGTTATGATATTTGGGGGAAACCTGGGTTCTGACTCCACGTTTCAGTGAGCCATAGTTTCCCATTGCTTCAGGAGTAGAGAAGTGGGGAAGGGATTTCAATAGTTCTTAAATCTATTATTTAGCAGTAGCTCGAGGCTGTGTGCATCATAATTGAAGCAATGAGATAGGATCCCCTGGGTGTGCTCTGCATTCCTTCCATTCCATGGTGCTTTTCTAGTCTCCTGGTCAAATCACAGCCCAGAGCTGCTTCAGCCAAGAGGAGACTTAAATTAGGGATGTGCAATCTTCAGCCATCGTAGCAGGATCCATTTAGTTTCTAGGCAGAAGACAGCATGTGCTCTCTGCAGAAATTATGGCAACTTTCAGATTGAAATAGCCCTGAGAGTTTCTTGTGACTATTACCTTGAGCTGAGGTATAATCCCTTACCAGTGGTGGAATCCTAACTACAGTACAACAGTTGATTGTATTCTGTGTTCTCATTTGTGGTTCGGAACACAAATTGTTATTGTTCATCAGCTTTTCTTGTTTTTTACCTAATTCCTTTATGGTTGTAGTAGTAGTTATATGCTTGGCTTGACATAATGAGGCTATTTGACACTGTGATATTAAGATATTTTCAAGGAAAAGTCATCAGCTGTCCTTCTGGGTTATTCTGGGCATTTTGTACTCTATTTTGGATCTAACTTTTCTTGCTCTTGATTTCTGATTAGCTGTTCTTCCTCCTTGCCTTGGCCTCTCAACTTGCTTGGAAACTTTATCAACAGATTTTCACTTGGATGACTGCTTTGTTCAACAAATAAACATTATCTCAACCTTGGGGAAGAGTTAAGAAGACACAGGATGGAATGCTCTGTTAGACATTCTGGTTCTAAGCATGGAATTCCTGGAGCAGGGAAGCTGGCTTCCAATACATTGATGTCCAGAAGTTGTTTTCCTGCTTGAGGAGGGGAGGTCACATTTCTACCAAGAGTAATGTGAATTCTGGGGCATTTTCAAAACTTTTGGATGATTTGGTGAGATTTAAATTGTGTTATTTTTGATGAAGTTTTAGCAACTAAAGAGCGTATTATTTGCTTAGAAGAGTTGGATTTTTGGTTCTTTGTGGCGTGCATTGGTCTTGCCTGAGGTCACACAGAGGCCTTTCAATGAGGTTGGGCCTACTCTGTGGTTGAGATAGTTGAAACCAAGTATCAGGGAGGAAATAAGAGTGGCAGACCTTAAAGTATTAGATTTCTCACAAGAGAAAACAGCAACACCCAATAAAAATCCGTTTACCTTCACCCACAGTCCCCCTGGCCTGTGGATGTCTTTCTCCTCTTGTTAGCCAGCAGAACAGCGATCTCTTCTAAGACTGTGAGTGATTTGAGGGGGCCAGAAAACACCAAGTACCTCTATCCAGAGGGTGACTTTTATTTCCTCACTTTGTGGCCTTACTGAATTCTCAGAAGGTAAAGCTGAAAGAACTCAGAGTGGATGGCTGGGTTTTTGCATTCTTTACCTAATAAAATCAGTTGATTTTTTTTTTTTTTTTTTTTTTTTTATGGTAGTTGTGTGTTTGACTGTGAACACTGAATGACCAAATACGTTTCCTAGGGGAAATGCAGAGGGAGGTTCTTGCAAGTCTTTGGCCACAATGCTTTTGCCAATGGATCAATACAGAACCTTGTTTTATGTGTGTTTCTGTTTAGATGCCGTTTTCACATATGTTGTTGAGTCATTAACGCTGACACAGCCAATAGCTCTGTAACTTAGGCCTGAAGGAAGCTGACCTCATACACTGGTTTCATCCTTGAGACACGGCCATGTTGCCTCAGGAACACCAGGCAGCACTTCGGCACTGTGCTTGGAGCCATTTTAAACAGCACGGTGATCGACAAGCACAAAGATGTGAAAAACGTGGCACAGAATAGACCGTGAATAGGACACTATGGCAGGAGGGCTGCGCTCCTGCAAGAAAGCGGAGCATTGCCTTGTTCAACCTGAGCTGGGAACTCTGCAAGGGTGACTCAGAATTCTCGCTGCTCTGAGTGTGTCCGTGAATGAGTGTGAAGGTCCTAATGTGGGGGTTGCAAACAAATTTTAGCAAGTGGGCCAATTCGCATATGTCAACTGTATAATAGAAGCAGAGTAATCCCAATTGTTGTGACAGGAAGCTTTCTCAGTCCCACTCTGTGGTTAATGTAGAAAACCAATCATTTAAGGTAAAAATGAACTGTAAGCTGGTATAGCCAGACCAATGTCTGAAAGACATTTTTAAATAGGCTTGTGTAAGACGAAAACAGGCAAGGAGAATGTGCCCAATGAATTATCATTTGTTGTTTAATGAATGATAATTAGCCCCACTGCCAGGCTTTGAACATTTAGAGAATGGGAACACCATCATGTCCTTGGCATTAAAGGTAATAATGGCTAGCACCTAGGGGCACCTCAGCAAGTGAATGAATCCTAAATAAATGAATGAAAGGGCAGGCAGAATTCTTAGTGATGCCTGATGACCCATAGTAGGGCACCTTAGGAGTCTCATGCATCTTTTTAGCCTAGATATGTAATTTCCTGGCCACTGTGTTCCTTAAATTAACTTGCATAAATGTGTACCAACGGGCAGAAATAGTAGTGGTCTGACCATGAAAGGTAATCATGTGACACAGAGGTTATTTATCATGATTATTTTTGTGCACAGCCCTAGCATGTTAATATTCATTAAATGGATTTGAATGCATGAATGAATTTAAACGTCTAGGATATTTAGAAATGCAATGGCTTTAAAAAATCTTTTTAAATTCAAAAGAGAGGTGACTTTGTAAGTTACTTTGTACTGTAAGTCTGTACTCAGAGAAGTAGAAAGATGTGGATATTCTTTTGTTAACTAGCTTTGTCTGTTGTGTGAAACTGAGCCTTTGCACTCAGGGAACATCTACACTATGCTTTGTCCCGTGCACCTTCCTCACATAAATATCCAGGGACAAGAGTTAATTAAAGTAGAAGCTAGTTAGGTTTTCTGAAAGGAAATGACATTCAATTTCAGATATTATCTGTTTCAATTATTTCCTGCAGATTAACTGTTCATTTTACGAATTATTTATCATGGAGCTACTGAGTACAAGAAACTGGGCTCGGGGCTTTGGAGCATGCAAAGATAAGCAGAACATAGGGGCTTTTGTCTAGTGGGAGGGAAAGATATGAATGCACATTTTTGTAAATCTGGATAAAATATACACGAACTACAGGTAAAAGTGAAGTGCTGTGGTGGCACAAGGAAGAATGAGGTTAATTCCAGCCTGCTCTGTTCTACAGAGGAGCTTCAATATTACTTGGGTCTTGAATGCCCATTTGGGAGTAGGTGGGCAGCAGGGTAGACTGGAGAAGTGGCAGTTAGGGCAGTTCCAAGAAGAGGTAACAGCATGGGCAAAAGCACTGGAGCACGAAGGTACAAGGAACAAGTAACATAAAGGTTCTGGAGTGTGAGGGGCAGGCTGGAGTATTGTGAAATAAGACCAGAAAACTACCTCAGATCCAATTATAGAGAGATTTAATGGCAGTTTGCTTGGACTTTATTCTATAGTCATTAGGAGCAGTAGCAGATTTTAAAACAGAGGAATCATGTGACAGCAACTAGCAGCAGCTAAAATTTGTAAGCAGTTTTATGTGCCAGGTCCTAATCCTTACCACCGCACTTTGAGGCTAATACCATTTGTATTGCAGTTTGTAGATGAGGAAACAGCACAGAGAGGTTAAGTAACTTCACCAGGATCCACAGCAAATAAGTGGTGGAGTGGGGATTGAAGCCAGCAAGTCAGACTTAAGAACTTGGGTTTTTAATCTGATATTGAAAAATAAGATTCAGAGAGTCTTTGAACTTTTAAAATTATTTGCAAAGTGATCAGTATGTATGAATATGTGCATTAGTTTAAGAGAGGATCTGTAGCTTTAATCACGTAAGATATAAATGCTTAAAAATGTTAATAAAGACTGTATAAGCCAGGCATGGTAGCTCATACCTGTAATCCCAACACTTTGGGAGGCCAAAGTAGGCAGACCACTTAAGGCCAGGAGTTCAAGATTAACCTGGCCAACATGTTGAAGCCCCATCTCTGCAAAAAATATAAAAATCAGCCTGTGTGGTTAGTCCCAGCTACGTGGGACACTGAGATATGAGAATCGCTTGAACCCAGGAGGCAGAGGTTGCAGTGAGCAGAGATCGTGCCACTGCACCCCAGCCTGGGCAACAGAGTGAGAATCTGTCTCAAAAAGAAAAAAAAAAAGACTATATAGAGCACCCTCTTTCACTCTCAGAAGTCCCCCAGAATGCACAATACATTGTATGGTGACTATGCCTGTTCTTGTTAGGTTGGAAGAAGCAGAACAATCTGTCACTGCTCAAAATAAAATAAAACATCAAAACAATTTGAAGAAATTATTAGTATTATAAGTGACACGTTCTTGATTTGTGAGAAACAGAAAGTGTACAAGACGGTGTTTTGAAGGTAGACACGAGATATTTAGGCATTGAACTTGCAAAAATTTCAAAGGGCAGAGGACCTTTCTCCCCATTTGGCAAAAATTATTCGTTTTAATCCCAGCAAAAGCTAGATAGACTCTGAAATCTTACATGTTCTGCAAAAATACCTAGATGCTAGTCTGCTTTCAAATGGACCAATTTACCTTTTTAGAGTTAGGTCTTGAAGGATGAATATTTACCAATCTTTGAGACTGAAAATTCTTTGCAGCCAGATGTGCATCAAAGGCAGGTGCCAGGATGAATGAATGAATCCAGATAAAAGAATTGCCCAGTTTATATCACTGGAGAAATCCAATTATTTGAGTTTTGTTTAGAGTAAATGTTTTAATGTTTTATATATATGTATATCTCATAAGATATTACTGTCATACAAGTATAGCAGATGAAATACTTTGGGATCTGTACTACCTACTTACTAGAGCTTTACTTTATATTTTCCCCATCTTTGCTTTCTCATTTTCTCTTTTTTTTCCTGCACTATTTGAAAGTACATTGCAGATATCATGACACTTGCACCCTAAAATATTTCAACCTAAATTTCCTAAGAACCCAGTCCACATTCAGAACCAAAATGTCCTTTACTATAGTTTTTGTTTTGCTTTTGGTTTTGATCAAAGATTCCATCAAAAATCACAAATAGCAATTGGTTGTCATGTTTCTTTCGTCTCTTTTATGAAATATCTTGTTTCCCTATCTTTTTTTGTGTTTTCTTATCTTGCGTTTCATGATGTTAACATGTTTTAAAATTCAAAGATAGTTTTCTGGTAAAATGTCCTATAGTCTAGACTCATTTGACTGTTTGTGTCCTCATAATTAGATTCGAATTAAACATAGTGCTAGCAAGTGTATGTTGCTTCTCCTCAGACACTGCATGATATTAGCTAGGATAAGTTTAATCATTTGGCTAAGTTGGTGCTGACCAGATCTCTTCATTGTAAAGGTGCCTAATCCTCTTGATAACTAAGAAGGCATCTGTGGGGTAATCTTAGAGACCATGTGCATGTTTTTTCCCTTGACAGTGATTCACCCATTGGTTTTTAGCATCTATTTCTGATCCTTATATGAATCAATTTTTAAGTTGCTAGTTGCAATATGGTACTAACTTGATTTCTGAAGTCATTTTATGAAGAAGAATTCTCCTTTCCATCCCCATGCCCTGCTTGGGAAAATCTTGGCTCCAAAGACTCATGGCAGAAGGATCAGTGAAAGTG